CCCCATTCTGAAAGAAATCAGTGGCAAAATACTCCAGTATATTGCCATACTACTAATACTACATAATACTACATAATACATAATAATACATAATACTACATAGACCTGTTCATGAAGTCCCCAGAAGTCAAATTTTAATTTAATCCACAAGTGACTTGTTGACCTCAAAATAAATAAGCAAGCAAGCAGGGTCAGACGTGGTTAAACTGTGTTGGAGATTTTCAGGAAATCCAAGAACGATAGGCTGGGAAATCGAAAAAACATCCAGGAGGTCATTGTCTGGCCTCTTCAGTATTGTTGCCAAAGAAAATATATTAACCTGCCCATTTGGTCACCAGGAATTGAGTTCAAGTCGAAAGAGGCATTGAGTTCAGCCCACATTTGGCTTCAGTAAAACTGAATAAGTTTAAATGGCTAGTCAGGAAAATTTGTTTCAAGTTGTGCTGTTTTTACTAGTCAGGAAGATTCATTTCTAGTAAAAGGGCATTCTTGTTGTTTAATATCAGTTGAAGATTAATCTTCATAAAAAATAGAAAGCTTAGTCCAGTAAATTGAAACATGCTTTTGATAACACTGTGAGCTTAACCAGCTCCAATTTAGTTAATTGTTGCAGATGTTTGGATAATATTTTTGCCATCATCTATTGGAGTGACTAACACCAGCTTTTAAATCATACCAGTTATCTTGATTATCAGTTCACTTATTTTTCATCTCCACATTACCAAGTAGGATAGAATATAATTAGAAGTTATGTTTAAATTCAAGTGCCTTCTATTGAGAAAGGCTAATTAAAGTTTCCTTGCAGGTGAACAACTCATTGTGATTTGGGGGGGGGGCAGTAAAAAAATAAACCTTTTTACCACATTCTTCCAGATTTTTAGTTAATCTTTCAAACCATCTCTTGCCTTGGGGTGAGAAACTGAGAGGGTTCTCTTTACCCCTCAGATAAGTTCTTGAACATAGCAAAAATGCTATATTTGGCTGTTCCCTTGTCTGAATGATTAGTTACGTTGGATTATGCAGTACAAAATCTGTAGAAAGGACAACATTCTGCTTTTAAGTCACTGCATCTACCTAGTTAAATTCATGTAAGATGCTTAAATTGGATCATAAAATTATATTCTGGGATTCCATTTAGCTGAAAATTACGTCAAGGGTTGCATAGTGCATTAAAGGGCAAGAAAGCTAACCAAGGCTTAGCATGTTGGACAAGTGTAGTTTTTAGAGTTTTTATTAACCTGGTTCAGTATATTGGGTGACGTTTGATCTGGATCTACTAAGGAGTTCTAAGCATCTTCGCAGATAAACTCTCAAGCAGCCCTTTCCTTTCTAGCTTAAAGCTGGGGGTTCAGAGGAAACATCCTTGCTGTGTGCTGGGCTTCAAGAACTGCTGGTCAATCCAGCTAACATAAGGAGCAGGGGACAGTCCCCACCCTTGTGATATCAGGCCTTTGGGATCTACCAGCCAAAGCTGCTCAGAGCTGTAGACCCTCTTGAATATAAATACTGAGGAAATATTATAATCCTAAACTTCTGTGGTTTTCCTGGCCCACCAAATGTTTGTTGTCATAACAGACCTCCTCAAAGTCTGTCCATCTCAGGAAAACGTCCTGCTTTTTTTCTTCAGCTCTAAGGTTAGAGAACAGGTCAGGAGTGTGCTGTGAACTGGGAAAGGAAAGCAGTAAGATGCCGGTTTGTTCTCTTTGCTGCTCCCTCTCTGGCTCTTGCCTGGCAGAGATAAAGTCAGAACAAATCTCGAGCTGGATTGTGGGGCTGGGTGGTTTGAAATATCGGAGTTTAAATCTTATTTCACATGTCAGAATCTGGATTCTGCTTCGTATACCTAAAGGGTGGGGCAAATCTATTGGGTTTTAAATGTAGGGGTGGAGGCAGAGAAACTAAGAGGGTATTTTGTTTTTGACAGCTTAGGCAATTTGATGACAGAAGGAAGGACTTTTTAAATGGTTCATTCTGTAAGCCGCTCTGTTATGCCACCTCTCCTGCAACAGAATTTTGACTCTGAGGGAAGGCTTCATTTGTTCCCGTAAGCTAATTCAAAAGGCCCTGATTGTGCTTTCTCATGTCTCAATGCAGCCAGAAGATGAACCGAAGGAAGAAACCACACCTGCCAAACCGATTGTGGGGATTATATACCCACCACCGGAGGTTAGAAATATTGTGGACAAGACGGCCAGCTTTGTGGCTAGGTGAGAAAACTTTGACTAAATTCCTGAAATAAATTCTGTGTGCAGCAAACAGCAAAGAGAACTTGGGCAGCCTCTGTTAGGTTGAGCTGGGCTCATTATTATTTATTAGATTTGTATGCTGCCCGACTCCCAACAATTCTGGGCAGCTTACAAGTAAAAACAAAAAAAAACACAATAAGAAACCAAAATAAAAGAGTAAAAAATTGCAAGGATGACAAGAACCGGATAGGAGCAGAAGAGAAACAAGCCTACCCAAAGGCCTGAGTGAAAAGCCAGGTCTTTAAGGCCCTTTGAAACACCAGTGGGGTGGAGGCCATCTGAATCTCATGCACTCAGACCTCCAAGTGGTAGAAGTTGCTTTCTGATAGTGGTATTTATTTCAGAACATTTTAAGCTCGAACTGCCCTGCCTTGAGGTAAGAACAGCTGATCCAGCCACAGAAAATATTCTGATGCTGTTCTGACTATTCTGGAAGTGTCTGGGAATAGTCTCCCATCTTGGGCTCAAAACAAGCTGTGAACATGGGCCTTTTCAGGCCCAGAATATTTCAACAGTGATTTTGTGCTTGAAATGTTTTGAATTTGACATGTGTGGCCCGCCTCACCTTTGGGAGATGATGGGATGTCTGTCTTCAGTGGCTTCTGAACAACAGTTTGGTTTGGTTTTGACTTCTCCTCTACAATTTTCCAGAAACGGCCCTGAGTTTGAAGCTCGGATCCGCCAGAATGAAATAAACAACCCCAAATTTAATTTCTTGAACCCCAACGATCCTTACCATGCCTACTACCGCCACAAAGTCAATGAGTTCAAGGAAGGAAAGGCGCAGGAGCCCTCTGCTGCGATCCCAAAGGTCATGCAGGCCCAGCAGAGTGCCCAGCAGCAACTTCCTCAGAAGGTAAGTGGTTCCTCTCTTGCCTTCATCTTCTTGTGGAGTTTATTCCTTCCTTTGTGATACTACCCCAAGCTTATAGCTCCTCTTGGCTTTTTCTCACCACCTGGGAAAGTATGGCTAAGAATAAGTGTTTCCAAGCCAGAAATGGATGAGTGTACTTGTCCAGCAGCTTCTTTTCCTTATCCTTGGGAAATATCTTGGCACTTGTGGAGTGAACCGAACCAGACAATGAACGCAGACCCCTCTGACTCTTTCTTCTGCAGGTCCAGGCTCAGGTGATTCAGGAAACAGTGGTTCCAAAGGAGCCCCCACCGGAAT